GCTTGTCTTTTATTTGCTCTACTTTTGTATCGAGCACTCTATTCTTATGATTCGACACTCAATATACTTATTGACATTCGCCTAATACATATATATATATATATAATACATATATATATATATATATATATAATACATATATATATATATATATATATATAATACATATATATATATATATATAATACATATATATATATATATATAATACATATATATATATAATACATACATATATATATATATATATATATATATATAACAGGAAGTGATAGGCCTATGTCTGATAATTGAAGCGTCTAGCGATGACATTTTATATTAACTTGCATAGCATATTGTTTTGGAAGTGGCTTTGAATTATTGTCAGAATTTGTTATTATAGCAGTATGCCAAGATTCTAATGTCTTATGTGTCTGATAATTGCCACGATCTATTACTTTCCCATTATCAAAGTCAATTATATGGTCCATATCCCATGCATCCATAATTCGCTTGAAGATAGGATGTTGACTTGGAGCTTTGAAACGTAATGATTTTGGCAACCAGCAGTTCGTAATGGTTTGATGTGTATAATGTAGGTGGCAGTGATGAGCTTCTAATTTGTAGGTACTTTTTTCTAAGTGTCTTGCTAATCTTACGGCCATCTGCCCTGCCTCATGGCGAATACAAGAAAATATGGACATAGAGTAGCCAGGTTTAGGCATAATTATAAATATAAAGTTCTCTGACTAAAATTTTATTTAATACGAGCTTTCAACTACCTAACTGTAGTCTTCGACGGGTAAAGTGGAATGAATTATTATTAAATTACAAGCGTGCATGTGTTAGGTGATATAGATATATATAACAGGAAGTGATAGGCCTATGTGTGATAATTGAAGCGTCTAGCGATGACATTTTTTATTAACTAGCATAGCATATTGTTTTGGAAACGGCTTTGAATTATTGTCAGAATTTGTTATTATAGCAGTATGCCAAGATTCTAATGTCTTGCGTGTCCGATAATTGGCACAATCTATTACTTTCCCATTATCAAAGTCAATTATATGGTCCATAACCCATGCATCCATAATTCGCTTGAAGATAGGATGTTGACTTGGAGCTTTGAAATGTAATGATTTTGGCAACCAGCAGTTCGTAATGGCTTGATGAGTATAATGTAGGTGGCAGTGATGAGCTTCTAATTTGTAGGTACTTTTTTCTAAGCGTCTTGCTAATCTTACGGCTGTCTTCCCTGCCTCACGGCGAATACGAGAAAATATGGAGAATAGCGTAGCCAGGTTTAGACATAATTAAAAATATAAACGTTCTCTGACTAAAATTTTATTTAATACAAGCTTTTGACTACCTAACTGTACAGACTTATATCTGTGATATCAGCTGTGGCAAAAGCATTCAAAAAGATGGTTTACAATCCAGTGTTGTAACGAGTCGAGTCATTGACTCGGACTCGAGTCGACTCGAGTCGCCATTTTCAACGACTCGACTCGAGTCCAACACGAAAAATGACTCGACTCGACTCGAGTCAACAGACCCAAATGACTTGACTCGGACTCGACTTGTTGATTTATGCCTTAAATGACTCAAGTCAATTCAGTTTTACACCGTGCTCAGAATAAATTCATCAAAAATCTAAATGCAGCAAATGGTTGTATTGCCCGTTGGGCAGAACGGAGCTGGAACCTAGACAATGCTTCCGCTTTTAAGTATAATTTAAAGAATTTTACAATGTTACACTAATTATAATAAATTTTAGCTTTCAAAGATAGAAATTATAAATTTTAAAGTGGAAGTACAAAAACAAAATATCAGTTCCCGCCAATGTTTTATAAATCTTTTGTTCAATATGGATGAAGATGCAGTGCCATCAGCCGTTCGCTTTGCATTTAAAGACTATAAAATTGACAAGGATAAAAGGAAACACAGTGCAAAATGCGCGCATTGTCCGGAAAGTAGAACATCGATCGCTGAATCCTTGGGTACAACATCAAATTTTACGCGACATATGAAGACCCATCCACATGTGTAAGTATAAATATACGTGTAACTTCGTGTAACTTTAATATATTGAAATCTTTTGCCGTATTTTTAATACTGTGGGTTATGCAAATAACCACATTAATTTATATTTTATCGTGGGTTATGTAAATACAGCGAAGAGCCTTGCTGCATAAATTATTTATAAATATAGTTATAAATATAGTTGACTACCCAACCATTGAAACATGCCTGTTACAGGAACTTCAATATAAAGTAATAAAACAAAATGTGATACAGTCATATTGTAGCTAAAGTTTGTAAGGATCATGGAAAGGTTTGGATAGGAGTCAGGCAGTAAATAATTTGAAAGTTATCTTTTCTACTACTAGAACATTGAATAATGATTATTATTATTATATTATTGTTTCAACGTTGACTGAAATGCCTCTTATCCCCCATAAACTCAGGTGGAAAAGTTACCAGGAATATCAGAAGCAAAAGAAAAACAAGTTTACTGGTAACCTATCTTCAAACCAAACCACCCTTACTGGCCTTAAAGTTGCAGCACTTGGACAATCTGGATTTGGAAGATCGCTTTTCCAATCTGGTGAAAGGCACTATTCGCCCACCAGTTCACGTGCTCAGGCAATTCATAAGTCATTGATAAATCAATTAATTGTTGGCGAAAGCTTGCCCTTACGCATTGTTGAATGAACTGGATTTCTGAACTTTGTGCAAACATTGGATCCAATGTACCAACCTCCATGTAGGAACACTGTCAAAGCAAAGATAAAGGAAAATGTGAAGATTATGCAAGAAAAGATAACATCTCGTCTTAAAGAATGCGACAGTGTCAATGTCACGGTTGACATTTGGTCTGACAGAGTTATGAGATCCTTCATGGGGATTACAGCTCATGTTATGGAGGAAACACCTCTCCACCTTTCTACGTATACCTTGGCATGTTCCCGCTTTGTAGGCAGCCACACAGGAGAAAGAATTAGTCAGCAGTTTAACAAAGTCATAGAAGATTACAAGATACAGCAAAAACTGGACTTTGTGATAACGGACAATGCAGCAAACATGAAAAAAGCATTTACAGTTAGTTTCCCTTCATCAGCAACTGATAACTCTGACTTAACAAATGATCATGACAGTAATGATGAGACTGAGACACAGCTTGAGACAGAGTCATCTCTGGATACCTCTATAGATCTTGATGATGACACAGTTTGGTTCTCGTTAGACGACTTGGAACAAGAAGAAGTGGACAGCAACCTTTCGAACTCTGCCAAAAGAGGTCGGTTGTCGTGCTTTGCACATACGTTGCAGCTTTGCATTGGTGATGGATTAAATGAGACAAAAGGTATCATACCCAAAAGTTACAACAATTCTAATTCAGTGTTAATATAATAATGAAATTCTGATTGAATTATAGACTATTCACTAATGAATCATGGAATTTTAGGGGACATTTGTTTTTTATCTTCCCAGACAGACCAGTAGTGGGATTTTATCTCCATTGTTGCAAGCAGTGAATTATTGAAAATGGTTTACTTTTCTCAGAGAAGTTTTGTGTTACTCGGTTGATGAGCAGTGTATTTACTGCAGTAGCTGCTTATTTTGCATCTGTCTTACTTTTACAGGCAGTTGCTCCTCGTATGTTTAGTACTGTAGTTCACTAGTTTGCCTTCCTGTCAATTATGACATTTGTATATATTGATCTGATCATAAAGTATTTTTAATTTTCTCTTTTCCTCTGCATAAAGGTATTCGTAAAGCCATGAGCAAAGCATCAAAACTGACATCCATGGTGCACACCAGTTGCGTATTTAAAGAAGCATTTTCTGCAACATTTGGAGACGAGAAAGGAATCCCTAAGGCTAATTCTACTCGATGGAATTCCATTTTAAAGCAACTTCAGGGAGTTGTGATGCTTGATCACCAGAAGCTTAGTGACATGTGCAAACAAACAGGTAGGTCCTCTAAAGAGTAAATACTATTTTATTAATTAATTTAAATTATTCCCATTTACAGTTAACTCATTCAGCGCCAGCGCTCTCCCCTTGACGAGTAAAATCGTCTGGCGTTAGACTGCTAAAATAATAAAGTATATTAGGGCATAATGGAATTTAGTGGGTTAATCTACACTCAATAAGTACTGCAAAATATTCTTTTCCTTGGCCAATTCTTTTGCTCCAATTTATAGGCCATGGAGAGCTTATTTTAAGTGTTAGAGAGTGGGCTCAGCTGAAGGAGTTGGTGGATATCCTGCTTCCATTTTATGAAGCCACTCAATTGACACAAGGAGAATGCAAGCCAACGATCAGTTTGGTTGTTCCCACTGTATTAGCCCTTGCTCGGCACTTAACTAACTTCGCTAAGAAGGCACGGTACCTTAAGCCCCTTGCAACAGCTCTTAACCATTCTATACGTAAGCGGTACAAAGGTATTTTCGCCAATGTTGGTATGGAAGGAGAGCTACAAGACCTGGGAAATGCTCATAACTTTGGTGAAACTGTGTACCTGACAGCTGTGTTGTTGGATCCGACATTTGCACTCCACTGGTTGGTGGATGTCTCTATCTCCACTGAAGAAAAAGAGGTTCTTCGCAACAAAAAAAAAGGTTTGTACCTTAGTATAGTAACTGCATTTGGATAATTGGATTCTCTTTTGTGTCAGCACAGAGCCACAGACTTTAACTTCAGCATTTTAATAAGTGAAGAGTCACGACATTTGACTCCACCTTACAAACTGTAGGAGTACAGTGTTTAATGAATGACATTTTAGCAATTCAGAGTTATACTATGAAACGTTTTCACTTATTTAATGCAACATTTTAACCCTGTATTATGATTGACTTACTGGATTACGTGTATGTCCTTATTTCGCATAATTGTATTACGTATTAAGTTAATTAAGATACATATAGCTTGCCTGGCATACTGTAAGAATTCTTGATTATTAAAACGAATCGAACACTATTAATCTCAAATACTGTTTACATTCTAATGCCTTATTAATCATGCCAGAAGATTATTAATTATTAGTAATTTGTTTGTCTTCGCCCTCTGGAAGTCAAGTTTCTAGCTTTCTTATCAATTGTTACTCAAGGTTTATAAAATACTTTCTTATTTTGTATGTTTCATATAGAACTAGTGGTAAATGAAGCAGAAGAACTGATGGGGGATAATGAAACCCAAAATACTACAAGCGAAGAAGAGGATGAGCCCCCTGCAAAGCATACTAAGCTTTTTAGCTCATACAAAAGAAGGCGAACTAGTAGCAGCGGTAAACCACCTGCAGCACAGTACATGAAGTATTTGGAGACTACCGAAGAAGAGGTGGAATCCTGTATTGAGTTCTGGGTTGTACATAAGGTGAAGTTTCCAGCCCTGGCATTGTTAGTCAAGAAAGTGTTGGCAATCCCAGCTTCAAGTGCTCCAGTGGAACGCGTTTTCAGTCGTGGTGGTATCATCATGCGACCACATCGTTCACGCTTGGGAGATGAGATTTTATCAAATTTGGTTTTTCTTAAATGTAACAAGGACTGTCAGTAAATCGTAACTATATATTCTCAAGCACTGACAAATTAGGAAATTTAACATTTGAACCAATAATGTAGTTACAAAAGATCATTGTTTATAGAAGTAAATTCTGTAAAATGTTGTTGTTAAATTTAACTGACTAAAAATAGTTTAAAATGTTGTTATTACATTTAAATGACTGAAGTAGTTAACTAGCAGTAAACAAAAATTTGATTTCAGCAGACTGCAATCTGGGGATGTTCTTCATTAAATTTCCAGACACAATTAGATCAGGTATTAGCTATTGACTCGACTCGACCAAAAGCATTGACTCGACTTGACTCGACTTGAGCGGAGCCATTGACTCGACTCGAGTGAAACCATTGACTCGACTCGACTCGAATGAAACCGTTGACTCGACTCGATCAGAAAGTGAAATGACTTGACTCGACTCGTGACTCGACCTTTGAGTGACTCGACTCGACTCGTGACTCGACCTGTGAGTGACTCGTTACAACACTGTTACAATCACCTAAACAACTTTCTTAATCAGTGTAGGATTATCTCAACACACACATCAGTCACATTTTCATAGCTGACATTCAACAGAAACTACACTTCTTCATACTACAAACCAATTACTCGTAAACATGGACAAGGGTCTGATTAACGGCATATTATTCTTAGATCTTAAAAAGGCTTTTTGACACAGTCGACCATGAGAAACTTCTCTCTAAATTAGAACACAATGAAATAAGAAGAACCTTACAATGGTTCAGATCATATATCCTCGAAAGGAATAAATGTACAAAATTAATGAGTGATTTCAAATGTTAAAAAGATCAGGTGTGGAGTTGCCCAGGGATCAAAACTTGGTTGTCTGCTATTTCTTATTTACATAAACGATCTGTTTAATTTGGGGTCATAATTAATGATCAATTAAAGTAGCTCGATCATACTGTGACGCACAGTGTAAAAAAAGATCTCAAAGGGTATAGCCCTCTTGAGACAAGCAAAGCCTTCTGCAACACTAGATACATTACTAACAATGTATAAATCACTTCGTTTACCACATTTCATATACTCTTCTACTTTATGGCACGATGGAAACAACTTGCACGTCACAAAGCCACAAAAACTTCAAAAAACGAGCTTCGCGGGTGATAACAAATTGAGGTTATGACATTAGATCACACAAGATATTTGATACCCTAAAATGGGAGCTGAATTGAAGCTACTTTTAGAAAACGAAAACAAATAATGGCCTTTAAGGCACTAAGAAGCATTGTACCAACATATTTGATTATGAAACTATTCACCAGTAACAACAATACCACATACAGTCTAAGAAGCAATAATCAAAAGCGTTACCTTTTCTTACAACAAATTTCTTACAACGTAGTTTTTCATATATCGAGGAGAATCTGTGGGTCTTAGGGTCATTCATTTTTTTACAATTTTGGAATATGAAAATCAGTTTATTTTTGACAAAAAAAAATTTCATTTTTTAATAAAATGAAACGTACATACCAGCATACCGTTCTGCACATTGTCTGTGAAGAACAATCTCATTATATCTGACAAACGTTACAGGTATGTGTTTTGGGAATAAACATAATATTACCAGGTTTAAGCCTGTGACATTTCAAGCTTGGATCTATATAGTTTCTGTATTTTCAAACATCCCTGTTTATATAAATGTTCAACAATATACCGTAAACCTCCGACTATAAGCCCCTCCCAAATATAAGCCCCCCCCCGAATATAAGCCCACCACATATACTAACGCTCACCTCATTCCAAATATAAGCCCCCCCCCTCCCGAATATAAGCTCACCCGAATATAAGCCCCCCAAATATAAGTCCCCCGAATATAGGCCCAGTAGCCCACTACGTTATTCAACATTGACATTGTCTTTTAATATAGCAGAGAACGATATTTAAAAACATTGTCATTATCTTTATAGCCGACTATGTGAATCAAAGCGCGTTATTAATACATATTTATTTTCCTGTTTATGACTGACTTGTTTATGTCTGACATGTTTATTACTAACACAAAA